TTACCTAGTAAATTGTCGGATCTCTCTATCCTATAGCCAATAATTCAATAATTTAAATATCTCGTATAAATGTAATAGCACATCCTAATAAGTGACGATACGTACATTATACATACGACCTTTGTTTTACGAGGTTATAACGATGACACATACGACCTTTGTTTTACGAGGTTATATATTATAAGGACTCGGCTAAATTCGGCGACGATCGGCGCTTTACCAATCGAAGCTGACCGAGCAACCAAAGCTTGTTTTTGGCACATAGAAACGCTACTTTTGCTTATGTAAGCAGTAAAACAGCAGCTATTTTTAAACACAACGACATATAAAAACTTTACGAATATTATTATTAAGTAAGAAATAATATATATACCTAAATCTTTTTGATTCAAAAATGCCCAGAAAAAAGTATAAAAATTATTATAGTGCAAAATGGAATGCACCGACATACCACGACAGACGTTATCTTCTCGGCGTCGGAAGAAACAATTATTTACGTCGAAATCAACACAAGAAAATCTGCAGATAAAAATTGTCAATATTTAATATGTAATTTTGTTAAAAAAAATGCACATATAAACATAATAATAATTTATACAATTCATTTTTGTACTCAATATAATAAATATTTTTAAAACTTATAAAATATTATGTTTTTCGAGGGGGTAATCACCCTGCCGAAAATGTTTGATTAAAACCGATTATAAAAAAGTTATCCGAATCGATCGGGATTTCTGCACCGAAAATACGATATTAAAAAGGATTAAAATCCTATGAATCAAAAATGGTCGATCCAAAATTTACTGATTGATATATGAATATATCATGTCAAAATTAATTATATAGTTCAACTAGTAATAAAATTTAATATATATTTTTTTATTCTAAATGTAATATAGAATTAATCGAACCAACAAGAAAAAATTTTCGAAACTAAACTCGAATTTATGACGAATGTAAGAATTAATACAACATTTCAATGCACGCATATTATTTCAGGACACAAATCTCAATCGAAATGGATTACTTTTTTTAATCGGTTTTAATCGCATTTTTTTCAACTAACGGTCACCCATCCAAGCCACGACTGCCGTCAACGCTGCTTGACTTCTGTGATTGAGAACTGCAAACACTTCGTGATGATCCATGACTACTCGATATTAATAAATACATATTCGTGATAGATCAGATCAATAAAGTTATCAAAAAGATGAAAATATTTTTTTTATAATGTTAACATACACTAATTACACGATAGATAGTCGAAATAACGACAGTAAAATACAAATAAGTACAACACAATGTAAAATACTGGATCAGAAACGATAGCGTTTCATACAAATGTATGCAAAAAAATTAAAACAAATTACTATTATACTGATCACAGAAAAAATTGGATTTTTATTGCATTCAAACCGATTTAGTTTATATCCTCAAAATCGATGAATTTCGAATTACACCGGATTATAATCAACTTAATTACTAAAAATTAGATATTATTAAAGCAGATTGAAATTTCATACGCGCCATCGCTAAATTTCGAATTAAAAATTTGAATTAAAAATTTGAATTAAAAATTCAGATTAATTCAGAAATCATTCAGATTAATTCAGAAAAAATTCAGATAATGTTGTCTTTTCTAGCGGAATCGGATTTAGACGGATTACAATCGATTTTATTGAATCAGTGTTTTTGTAACTGAAACTTAAATGTTAAAAAATATGTATACGGTTTAGGCGGATTATTTTGGATATTATATTGACAACAATATGGATTAGAATATAATGATTTTAGATTGAAAATAATCCGTAAAAATAATATTAAAACTAATTATAATTCGTTCGGAATTAAAACCGATTACTTTTTAATCCGGGCACGAATTGAACCGATTAAAACCGATTAAAATGGATTACGTTTTAATCGGTTTTAATCGAACATTTTCAGCAGGGCACTAAGAAAATAGGTGTACACCTGGACTTCGGACTTCAAGACTTCAACGGACTTCACGGACTACGCAGGACTTCACGGACTACACTGAATTCCGTTGGACTACGCCGGATTTCATTGGAATACATCGGACTTCAATGGATTTCGCCGGACTTCATCGGACTTCATGGACTACGCAGAACTTCACGGACTACGCTGAATTCCGTTGGACTATGCCGGATTTTATTGGAATACATCGAACTTCAATGGATTTCGCCGGACTTCATGGGACTTCATGGACTACGCAGGACTTTACGGACTACACTGAATTCCGTTAGACTACATCGGATTTCATCGAAATACGTCGGACTTCACGGATTTCACGGACTTCGCCGGAATTCACGGACTTCACGAACTATTATGGATTTCATCGGCTATTACCGCATTTCGACGGATTTCGACGGACTTTACCGGACTTCACAGGATTGTTATTAATTTCATCGGAACACGCCTTAAAAATACCAGTTTGAAACAGATGAAAGACTACAAGACTACTCATTTACAATGGAAACTTATCCCTTAAAACGTTCCCATTAAAATACATCTCTTTAAACCCGTTAAAAAGCTTTCAAAACGATGAAATGCTGGAAGAATTTTTATGATGGAAAAAATAGTTAGGATAAAAATATATATATATCAAATAATTTATTAACATTTATGTTTTAATTAAAACATCTTCAATAGGTTAACAAATTATTTAACTTAACACTGAAATAAGCTTTGGTCAATTATATTAAGTCTAACTTAAAAATTAAAAAGGTTAATATAAATATAACATTTAGTTAGAGCTGCGCAAAATAAAAAATTTTGTCAATAATATCTGGATTAAAATACGGTAATGAATCCTTGTACGTCGGTCGGGGAAGAGTGCATAAATACGTATTTATATTACGATACAAAGGATATTCGTTTCTTTGTTCTAATTTGTATGAGTTTATGCCAAACCATGGTGAACTTAGACACATAATTCCCTTCGCGTTCTTTTTTGGCGGTTTAATTGGTGCACTATTAGCGGAATATTCTAATTTTCGACCTTTTCCTGTAATATAAGAAAAACAAAAGATTCTTCCAATAATAATTTGGTTTTCATCATCAACAAATGCACACCATTGACCATCATAAATTTCTTCGAGCTGGACGGCATTATTTGGACATTTCTTTTCAGAATCATTATCTGCACTTTTAACTTTTGATATCAGCGATATGTCCTTTTACTCTATCTAAGCGCTTACTTAATTTATTGATATTATTTGAATAAATTCAACATAGAGTACTTTTACGAATGATGGATTTTCTTCCATTTTTATCACTATAATGCACAAATGGCCCATTAGGTGAAAGTGGTTCTTCTTCCTCTTCAGTCCTTTGCGAAGAAAGTACCAGACTTAGATCTTCTTCTATTTCTTCGTCTACTTCTGAATCTCGTTTTGACTAGAAACAACTTCTTCGTCATCAATAGGTATATCATCTGCATCGTCTGCGTAACATTCAGCCACTTTTTTGTCTTTTAGTTGAAAATCTACAAGCGATGATAAAATATTATCTGTATTTTGAAGTACCATGCCTAAAAAAGTAGCAAGTTTTATTGCGTCTTCTCGGGAACGAGAAATGTTAACAAACATTTCGTTTTCTGTCGGTAAATTATTTGTAAAGAGAATATCTTTAATTTCTTTCCCACGTTGTAATCTTCATTCATATCGTGGAAAAGCATAATCTTTTCCCATAACATGTGTGACGTGGGCCTGAAATTGAATCTTTTGCACGCGATAAATGAATTCAAGCATACTAAAATTTAAAACCGTTGAATCTGTCGAGGTTAGAGATCTTGCAGCTCGAAAAAATTGTTCACATGGTTGGCTACTGTATAACCATGGAACAAAAAGTTCTGGCAAACCTTTTTGTCTAAATAAATTAACTGCAGCTACAATAGTATGGGCATTTATCTCAATACAAGTATATGCGTTGCTGGTAATAAAATTCTGTAAGGTATAGCCGTTTTCCAAAAGCCATTGTAGCCAAATTCGTAAAAAAAAACACTTTTCCAAATCAAATAAATTCGATTAAGCAATATCTTTGTCCAAGAAGGAATCCAAAATATCTTTCGTTATCTCCAGGAAAGCAACAGTTCCTTGAGTTGACGGCATTGTGCGTAAAATCCTCGTGACTCGTATGGAACAAATATTTTCAACCGCTCGAAAATTCATCTTGTCCTTATTATCGACATCAGTTAGTGTCAAACCATGTTCTTCTTTTCCTTTTTCAGCAATCAGTATAGATGCGTCGATGATGCTACAAAATTCCTAAGAGGTAATAAGACAGAGGATTTCAAAAATTTATTCCGGAGCTTGGTTCCAACGTGAATAATGTCTTGGATGTACATTTCAGATTGGTTCAATGATTCGATAAACCATCCTTGCCATTCTAGTGGTAAATTAGGACATCTGTAAATAGCCATATTTTTCATGGCACTAAGCAAGCGTGGGTCACCATCAAATAAAAATCCTACGATAGTGATTCCATGAAGTATTGCTTCTTTTTTCATCCACTTCCATCGTTCCATTACAGAAGTTGCAGTAAAACAACTATTTGAACCGAAAATCGCCAGACAAAATGCAGCAGCACTATCATGCAGCGGTTGTGCCATTATAACATAAGCATAATTTGCAACAATATTTTCCTCGAAATATTTTTTAATTATAGCAGCAGAAGTTGCCTTAAACGAACTACAAATCGGTAAACCTTTGTCATTTAATGGTAACACCAATCATATTGGATGCGGCCGTTAATTCTTGTTGCATCTTCGTTTATCCAGACCGACATAGGCTGCCGTCTTTCTTGCAAATATATCTTTAACTGCTGAAAATAAAAATGTCCTTCGCGTACAGGTTCGTTCACTGTTTGTATGCAGCGACTGATTGTTGTTACTGATGGAAGAGAGACAGGTAGATTTTTTTGAATAATTTCGTACATGTTTCGTCCACCCAAAATAAATATGTACAATGCAAATAATTTCAAATCGTTGATATATAATATGTTGAATATCTATGCCCACTATTATGTTTTTTTTATTAGTCTCAGCTGTTTGTATTAAAGATTTAAGGAATTAGTGACTTGAATTTGAAATAAAGTCCGTGATTGCAGCTCTTTTGTCACATTTTTGTTCTAAATAAGTCGATATAGTTTTTCTTAGATCATTATTTTTCGCCAAAATCGATTCCATGCTATCAAGAACATCGACATAGATTGTAATTCTTAATTGCCCTTTAGTTGCACGATTTAAAGATCGTCTTTGTCGTTCTAATCTTGAATATTTTGATAATTTCCATTTTGACGAATCATGGTCAGATTCTAATTGGGGTTCTTTGTTGTACCGAAGAAACTGTACCCCGTCAGGTTCTTCGGATTTTAAAAATTCAAAGAATTACTTTCCTGCAATTCTGATAGTTATAATTTCGCTATCCGATCCGCATGTGGCTATTTTCGAAGTAGAAGTAGGACTCGAGATAATGTCTTTCTCGCCAGAATTTTCTACTCTGTTTGAACAGTTGCCGTCGTCTTGAATAATTTTCTCTTCTGTGTATCTATCAAAGTGTCATCAGAAGAATAGTCAGGTGGTGAAGGTGAATCCACATCAAGTACATTTTCTTTATTAGAATCTTTATTAGAAATTTTAGTCCACATCTGAACGATAGGAGAAACGTCATTAGATTTATGATTTCGATTACGGTGTGTTGTTTTTGTTTTGAGGTCTTGTTTACCATGATAGCGTTTTAAATGTCTTTGGTAATTTGATATTACCCACCTATTTGAAAATTTGCCTACAAATTGTGGTGTAGAACAAAAAATGCAATCAACTTGCGCAGAAAGAGCTTGTGACCCTTGTTCAGAAATATTATTGTCATCTCGATTGTCATTATTAATTTTGACAATAATATTAAGCACTGCAAGTTTTTCATTTTCATGTTTACTTAATTGAATTTTGTTATCGACAATAAATGATTTTATATACGCCACTATTAATTTGGATATTTGCATCCTATCCTTGTTTAGGTCAATACTATCGTTTGTAGTCATGTCTTTGTTGTGTTCGATAGATATGGAAACCGACTGATCTGACTTTTTGAATATTGATTGCTTTTTTACATTCCATTTAGCGTCAATTTTATTTTACTGAAAATGTTTAGCTATAGCAAATAACAAAATTAATAATCCTTTGACTATATAAATAGTCAAAGTAATAATCTTGTGCAGGTTTTTGTTTATCACGAAAATGTTCCATATCACTTTTTCCAAATTCTTCCAAATCTTTTATATTTTCTTCCGAGAAAGAGCGCAAAGATAATATGTTGTCAAATCCAGTAAAAGTCAACAAGTTTTTCAGGTATATTGGAATTTTCGTTTGTAATGTTGTTTCGAGTTCATTCCACCACTGAACTTCTATTTTTCCACAATCGTCTATTCCAACAGCATCCGACTGTAAAAAAATTATAATTTATCCTCGAGTATACCAAAAAAATGCAATACATGATAAAAGTGAAGGTAAATATATCGATAAAGGGAGGCTGCTCCAATGACCTTTATATATGTTGTCAAGGGCATGACCCCAAGTGACCTTCAAGTGGTTTTAGCCGTCGCTCGTTATTCGTTAAAAAGTTATTAACAAAATATATGTAGAAGTATGTGAGAATGGAATAGGCATAAGTATAACTATATAATTAAAAAGTTATAAAAAACTAAATACTTTTATTAGTATTTATTAGTAAGGCGAAGATTTAATAGATATTCAATTTAATATACATTCTACTTTGCGTAGGGGTCTGTCTAATCTTTTCGGTATCTATTAA